AAAGTTCCAACCTGACAGAAAATCACGAATCCAGTAACATGAATGTTTGAAAATGCCGTGTGATTCCCTGACACTGTCCTTAACACTTTTAAAAACTGAAGTTCTTTTAAATATTAACCAAATATTCGGTTTAAACCGCATATTAAAACAAATTACTGCGTTTCCGTTACAAAGACCAGATGATGCAGCTTATGGAGATAAACGTAAAGGAATTTATGTAACCCGAAGGTTCGTTACCGTGTTCATAGGAGCCCTTCAGTGGTCCCTATCCTCAGCCAGATCAATCCAATCTATGGCTTAACTAATTAACTGAAGCACACGCACAACTTCAATAGATGAGAACTAATGCCACAGTAAACAAAAAGAATGTAATGTCAAAAGAAAGCCAGGTTCACCGCCAACCTTACACTTCAACATGCATACCTAATAAATATTTATCCCATTTAACCTGCTGCTGGTTATACACGAATAAACTATAGCTGATGATTTGTTTATTCGAGGCTGAGTACGTAAAGAACGCCCGCCCACATGTGGGAAGCACAAGCGGTTTGTGATTTCTGTGAATCATTGTAGCTGATGTAAGCGCTTGATCCTCTGATTTCTAAGAAGTTCTGCTGCTGTTTCTCGTGTTACCGTTTACGTGATAAGGACCTCTATGTTCGGAAGACAGCCACAGACAGGCCTATTTAGAATAACTGTCAAATGTCTGCTCTTTCTCTCAGTGAATGAGGATAAAAAGGAGCAACCCGACCTTAGAATGTTACCACGTTCATCTCCGTACACTTTTCTGAGTTTAAACAAATGTGTTTGTTGTTTGTTGAGTTGCGTAGTACTGAGTACTATCAAAATTGTACAAAAGTTAATGCTGAAACCTGCGGCAAGAGTAGAAATCTTGTGTTCTAAGCCCCCCTCTGACAGTTTAAGTGCATCTGTCACAATTTTTCACGTGTTTCGAGCATTTGAAACCTTCCTGAAACGTGTCTAGAACATCTGAAACACTACAGGATTGGTTTGGTGCGTGTTTAGAACATCTGAAATGATCTGTAATCATTTTGTCTCTTCAAAGCATTTGAAGTATCTGGAATAATTATGTATCTGTTCACAACACGTCAAATGCCTCTGGAATAATTATGTATCTGTTCAGAATATTTGAAATGCCTCTGGAATCATTCTGTAACTGTTCAGAATATTTGAAATGCCTCTTGAATCATTATGTAGCTGTTCAGAATATTTGAAATGCCTCTTGAATCATTCTGTAGCTGTTCAGAAAATTTGAAATGCCTCTGGAATCATTCTGTAGCTGTTCAGAAAATTTGAAATGCCTCTTGAATCATTCTGTAGCTGTTCAGAACATTTGAAATGCCTCTGGAATCGTTCTGTTATCTGTTCAGAACATTTCAAATGAATCTTAAATTATTTTTAACCTGTTGAGAACATTTGAAATGCCTCTGTAATGAGTTTGCATCTGTTCACAATATTTGAAATGCTCTACAATTATTTGTATTTGTTCATAATATTTTAAATAGCTCTAAAGATTAGGTACTGATGAAAACCACGAAAATTGTACATGGAATAGGCGATATGTGGCTAATAATTTAAATCCGGCACCTTTAGACTACACCCATCTCAATCTAGTGCAAAGGTTAATGTGTGGAGGCATATCTCCACTCCCCTGTACTTCTTTATGGCATGGTGATGTAGCAGAGGAAGGCCGCGCCATAGTTCAGGCGGTTAGTCGCCTGCCAGGGTTTGAGCCCTGATCAAGTGGGATTTGTGGTGGACAAAGTGGCGCTAGGACAGGTTTTCTCCGAGTACTTCGGTTTCCCCTGCCAATCTCCATTCTATCAATTGCTCCCCAATCATCATCTGTCATCTGGGGCTGGTGAAATAGGAGAACAATGGCCGCAGTGCTAAGTGTTCGAGGCTGAGTCGACCCCAGGGCCATAGTGCGGCTAGAAGGATTAGGTCAATTGAAAAATCCAGTGACATCATCAGGAATCTAAACCGCGACCTCCCGGCTTGCAGCATAGCGCCTCAACCAACTACGCTACCGCGTGCCACCAATCCATCAAGATAGAAAAATAAAATATAGCATGACCTACACGCACTTGATCCTAGAATGTTTTATTATATATTCCCGCCAACAGAACACACTCGGAGAGCGGCAGCACGGCTACGCATGCGCGGTGACACTCTATTTCCAGCCCAACTGAAAGCACTAATATCACTACACAATAACGAAACAAATATGACAATAATACTAACACTACAGCAAAAATCTGTCATGTAGCATTTACTTAACATTATGTTTGTTTAAACAAGCAAAGTTATGTTTGTTCTCTGAATCTCAAAGGTCTGCTGCCTTGCAGTGACCAGAAAAACAAGTGAACGTACTCACTTTCGTAACTCACGTGTCAGACTCCTTCCTACAGTGATAAACAGAGAGAGAGAGAGTGAAGTTTGCGACTACCATCTAGCGTCAGAATTCGGAATTCATGGTGCCTATCTCCCCATGCCTACATACGTGCTCTTACGAAGTTTCCAGACATTTCCCATACCCAGTGTGTTATATATATATCTGACTACTCAATTAATATGGAGCCGTATCATCCACGCGCTCTATCAGCCCTTCGTAAGAGTATAGCGCACACCGAAGTTATTTGAAGCGCGAAATAATGGGATAAATTGAACACAGTAACAACACCGTAGTGTTGGGTATTCTGATGATGGAAAAGGCCAGCAACGTGTCTCCAAAAGTCTATTAAATAATATACGGTTTTGAAAAAAATTAAAATATATATACTATAACCGAAAATACCCAATTATATATTACATCTGCTTCACTGCTTACATAACCATTTTAAAAGCCATCAAATTAATATTGCAGGAACCCACTTTAATATCCATGCGGCCAGTAATCCGGATAACATGATTTTCCGGGTTCTGTCCTTATACATATATGATATACTGCATGTGTGCCCATGGGCGCGGGTAGAGGGCAACCCCGTATCAACCGCCTCCCTTCAAATGTCTGGAAAAAAGTTAAAAACTTATAAAAGAAAAATTTTAAATATTCCAAATGTTATTTCTAATGTGGTGCCATCTATGTTTCGGTACAGAGACCCACAATTCTGGGACAATCGCTAATTATGTGAATTTGTAAACACACAAAATATGTTAACTCGATACTGCAGATGGAAATATAATTATAGTATGGCATTTTGAGGGCGAATTCTTAATTCTATACTACCCAAAGTCAGTTATAGAATTTTAAAGCTAGAAGAAAAATATTTCTGCAAGGCGTCTGTTACTTCATAAACAGCATTCCTATATTTATATTACATAGTTATGTAAGGAAAGTAATTTTACTAATTATTAACAGTGTACTCTCAGATTTAAGTTAAGATCTATATTAAGAATCGCGGGGTTACCCCGCCTATAGAATAAGATGTTTATAAGAATGTGCTACAGAGGGCCGGATGGGCACTGCCTGGGCTTTTTGTATTTACAATATTTTCCCTACAATATAATATCCTCACAGCCGTTAATCTCGGTTTTATAGACCGGAGCCGCTAGTTCCTTGAAACAGCTCCTCAATTATCCTCACGAGGCTGAGTGGACCCCGTTCCAGACCCAATACTTCGCAGAAAATCTGGTAGCGCCGGAATCGAACCCTGACCTCTGGATCTGTAGCCAGGAACTCTGATCACTAGACCACAGGGGCGGTCCAGTATGTAGTACAGTGGTTTGAAATAGTTATAATTCAATTCATTTATTTAAGTGCCTACTTAATAGTCTTAATGGCCGCGACATAGCTCAAGTCGCTGGCTTCCCATCGCAGCGGCCCGGGTTCGATCCCGGGTGTGGTCAAGTGGGATTTGTGGTGGACAATGTGGCGCTGGGGAAGGTTTTCTCCGAGTACTTCGGTTTCCCCTGCCAATCTTCATTCCACCAATTGCTCCACAATCACCCTCACCTATCATCTGGGGCTAGTAC